TCATTCCAGACAAATGGCTGCAAAATGAACCTACCGGTAGATAGAATCCTAATGATAATTCCACTGAAGATAATCTCTAGAAATAAAAAGGTAATTTGGTGGGTTTTAGGTTGCTGTGAACTCTACCATCAAGCTTAATTGCTTACTCTTCTTATTAGCTATTGCTCTTGTCCAAAGAGCACACAAAGAAACTGAGACTGTCATTTCTAGTTTTCCAGAACTGAATTATAGAGGGATAAAATCTCTTTGTCAACCCATGGAAGTTGTTGCGGAGAATTTTAGACTTTTCAACAAAAATGCAATAAGACACTTGAGGACAACACTTGGTGAGACCAAAGGACAGCAAGGTTATTTTTTGTTCCTTGTTGACATTTAATTAAATCATAATCAATTCAACAGATCGTCACAGCAACACAAAAAGAATCACCTGTTGCATAGATAACATTTTCAAGACTAATGCAGACATGTGATATTCATCCAAAGAAAAGCAAATTCATCTCAGGACCTCAAATCAAAGTTTATTTTTGGAATGGTAATGCCCATATAGATTTTCTGAACAGACAAAGGATAAATCTGTGGCTGATGAACATGGCAAGACTGAATTGGCAGAGTAACCCCCCCCCCAACAGAGATGCACATTAGAGATCCAACAATTTTATAATTCAGCCACATCATTGAATAGTGTATACTAAGACATACAAATGACATCATAGAGTTAGTATGCCAAAAAGTATAACTGCAAAGAAAAGCAATTAAGGTTGAAGTTCTAAATGGGTACAGCTATCAAAGCAAACAGATTTATTCAGAAGATTGGAACCTATACTAACAAATCCAATTTTGCAGGCAGAAAGCCCCCATTAAATTGCTAAAAAGTACTTTTCTCCAACATTTGGCAGCCAAACACAACACTGATTTAGAATGAAATTGCTTTACAAACATAATTTAAATCTAAGTCTTGAATCATCTAATTCAGAAACTTGTTCCTAAGAAAAATAAGAAATCAGGTCCTAAATATGAACATTCATTTTTAAAGAATTATTTATATATTATTTAGCTTGTTCTTATTTTTAGAAAATGTGCTACGCAGCATTTCAGCTGTCAAGTGGAATCCTGCCATGCCTTGTCTTGAAAAAGCTGGTTTGGAAGTTGTATACTTTATTTTTAATATTGCATATCTCAACATTCTGCATAGCCAAGTACAGCTGGAAAAAGCTACTTTGAAAAATGGATGTGACATGATCCTTTCCCATGTAAGTGTGGTATCTTTCTGGAAGATACTTGCCAGGCTAATGAGCTCATATTTTTGTTTTTTTATATATATAATTTTTAGTAAGTCTTTTGAGACAAAGATAAAAACTAATAGGAACAAACATAAAGTAAAGAAAGAAAAAATAGAAAGCCAAAAGTATAAGAATTTTATTTATTTATATTTCATATTTCTTAACCACCTGTATGTCTCTTAGAGAATGAAAAGAAATAAAAATAAGTTGCTTTCAATTTTCTTTACAGCAATTATACCTAAAATTATCTCCTACTCTATGATTACAACAAAAAATCACTTTTTTTTCCTATCCCTGGGCTTCAGAACTCATGGCAAGTTCCAGATAGCATCAGATAGCAAAACTAGAACTGCATCCAGAATTGACTTCAATTAGAGATAACAGAGTCAGGCCTGATCCAAAAGGTCACAATAGTATTTAGAGTTTATCCTGCAACTTCAATAAGCATGCAAATAAAGGCAAAACAGCACAGCAAACATTTATCAATATATACTCACGTAAAAGAATCCCAGAGGCCCTGAGATATATGGCATTTTCATTCCCAGGAGATACTTCACTTGCGAAGTCACAACGTGCGTAGCTGCCCCAGTTGTCATTGCACTTATCACTGGCTCTGTTAGCAAGAAGGTAGCACTGCCCAAATGTAGCATAAACATTGCTACCTGAGAAACCAGAAATATAATAGAGATTGCCTTCAGATGCAGTTACTGATTCTAATGTAGAAATGAGAAACGCTAACTGGCATTTTTTTTTTTTTAAAGGAGGTGAGAAAGTTCCATGAGCCAGTCAAGTAGAAGTTAGTTCATTACTCATTGCACCCATGAATAGCCTTTCAATCCATTTTAACTTCCATACATTAAATGCTATCTCTCTTGTGTTTACACAAATGTATGTATATATGTATGTATGTATGTATGTATGTATGTATGCATGTATGTAACACGTTAACCTTCAAAGTTACTATATAGGTAATCCTCAATTTACAACCACAATGGCCCCAAGGTTTCTGTTGCTAAGCAAGACCATTGTTAAATGAGCTGTGCCCCATTTTATGATCTTTTTTGCCACAGTCATTAAATGAATCATTGGAGCTGTTAAGTGAATCATGTGGTTGTTAATTGAATCTGGATTCCTCCATTAATTGTGCTTGTCAGAATCCAGCTGGAAAGGTTACAAATGGTGCTCATATGACACGAGACAGTACAACTGTCATAAATAATCTGATAGATAAGAATAACAGGATAATGTGACTGTAGGGATGCTGCCATAAGTCACTTTTTTGTAACTTTGAAAGNGACTTTGAAACGGAGATGAGCATCGCACCCTAGAGTCAGGAATGACTAATATGTGAGGGGAACCTATAACTCATATTACTGAAGAGAATCTCTAGCCTTCCAGAGACACTTTCTGGAGTCCAGGTGGTTGTGGGACCTTCCAAAAGGTAAAAGTCATATAGTCATAGTGCAATCCTTTCTAAATATGTAAAAATCCAGGGGAAGGATATGGTAAAATTTCTGCCTGGGCAGCCCTAGACTAGCCTGCCTGAAGATGGTGATTTGGCAATAAATGTATACATCTTTACTTTGGAGCCACAATATATATTGATTTAAATAAAAAGTATCAATGTAGCTAGCTCATCTGACATTTTTAAGAGAAACAAATTGGGGCATTCTTCAAATTAATTACCTTAGCTTATATATCAAAACATTGCCTGACTGACATTAATGGGCACAAACAGTATGGATTAAATCTTTATTACCTTTTTCTTTCATAAGAATGTAATATTTTTCTCAGAGGTTTTATGAGAAACAATATACAAATCTTGTGGCAGTGGACTTTGAGACATGCTGCTTATCAACATCATTTTATTTGATTATTACAGGCAGAAGGAAAATATTTTTTTAATGGTCAAGATTTCTAGAATTCTTTACTTACGGTGCTTCCTGGGAATTTAAATTTTTAACTATCCAGCAACATGATTTATTATATTATAAAATAAAATTGTAGCTGGTTTGTGTATTTGTTAGATATTTTTTTAAATCATGCCTTTCCTTTTAGAAATGATATATAGCATAGCATTCCCTCCGTCTTTCTTCCTGCCCTGTTGAGTACCTTCATATATGTCCATGTGGATGTATGCGTGTCGGTCGTTCTGGCAGTTGCCATGGCTGAGAATAGACTTGAACTGATTCACAGCAAATTTATTACAACATCATTACAATGATAAATCTATACATATTTGTTTCATGAAATAAGCAGAAGGCATCAGGAACTGTAGCAAATTATCAATACAGTACCTAAGAAGTCATACTTACCAGAACCAAATCAATAGGAAGCACTATTTTAATTTTCTTCTTAAATTTTTCATTTAGCTCTTTAACAAGAACTAGTATGGCAATACTAGATATAGACAATAGCACAGTTTCCAGCTGAATGGATCTGATGTTTTCAAAAATGTAGGCATAAATCTAAATAGAAAGAAAGATCATACCTTATAAATAAGCAATATTTAAAGATACATTCAGGTATGGAGAAGGTACTGATACTGAGACAAATTGGATCCAGCAATGCCCTCCACAAACAGTAGAGTTTCTTTTGTTTTCTGAAGAGGTGCATATTCAGTTCAAATCTTTATTAGAGAAAAGAGAGGAGCTTAACTTCTGCTAAATGTTTTATCTTTCCTGTAATTTCCAGGGAGCTCCTTAATCTTCTGGAATATAGTATGAATCCTTGATATTTGCTTTATATGCCTATAGAAGTTTAGATGAACACGAATAAATACTATTTAATAGGTGAAAGGTATATGGTAGATAACTGACATGGTAAGTTGAATCAACTATGCTTGAAACAGTTTCCAAAATTAATATTAATTTTAAAAACATCAATAATTATGACATAGAATAGCAGGGCTAATAGCCAACTAGCAACAGAAGAATCTGCTATTAATGGCAGAGAAATAAGAATGCCTAGTTTAAGAAACACAGTAATATCAAGCTCTAAGGCTCACCTTCAACATACACACAAATAGGATCTAAGCAAAGACAAAAGCTCCATGGGAATTCAGAGCAAAACAGAATAACAGAGCTGGAAGGGACCTTGGAAGTCTTCTAGTCCAACCTACTGTTCAAGCAGAAGACACTATATCATTCCAGACAAATGGCTGCAAAATGAACCTACCGGTAGATAGAATCCTAATGATAATTCCACTGAAGATAATCTCTAGAAATAAAAAGGTAATTTGGTGGGTTTTAGGTTGCTGTGAACTCTACCATCAAGCTTAATTGCTTACTCTTCTTATTAGCTATTGCTCTTGTCCAAAGAGCACACAAAGAAACTGAGACTGTCATTTCTAGTTTTCCAGAACTGAATTAT